TATTTCCCACATCGCAATCATTCTTGTGTTTGTGCAGTCCTGACCAAACACCCACTGCCCTTTTGCCAACATTCCTCAATCAAATCCTGTCACAAAATAGGCTTTATTGTCAGCCCAGTCTTCACCTTGAAGCACACTGTCACGCCAGAAATGTTCACAGTTGAGTTTTTATCAAAAGGCGACATGTCTTCCTTTTATGTTGGCATTTTGGGAATCTGGAACCTATACTGTAGATCATATACACCAGGGGTGGGCAACTCCGGCCCTCCAGTTGTTCTTGAATTACAAATCCCAACATGCCTCTGGCTCTGCGAGTCATGCTTGTCACTCTTGCAGTGCCTCATGAGACTTGTAGTTCCACAACAGCTGCAAAGATGGAGTCGCCCACCCCTGATATACACTGTGCCAGTATACTCAAACTTTTGTGCTTCACCATCACAGTCTGTACTACTCTAGCTATAGCTGCTGTTTCTGCAGGGCCTCAATTAGGCACCATTCAATAAACTCAAGCTACTTCCACTTCACTAATGTGAATTCAATGGCACCGCAGCCACGCGCCCCGTCCGCGGTGCGATCCCTGGCACCCGAACGCGTGGCACATTAGTGCCTGCATTCCGGTCCAGTGCGATCTGCAAAAAATAGCGTTTGCAGCATTTTTTGCAGCTCGCACTGGACCGGAATGCAGGCACTAATGTGCCACGTTTTTCGGGTGCCAGAGATCCTGCCCCCCAAAAAACTGAGCCGGCCGGGTTGCGTTCCAGAGGCCGAACGCACTCCTGATGATGTGACAGGGCCCTTAGGCTGCCACCATTTTTTTATTCTTTATAAGCAACAGTTACTTTTCACTAAAAGTCATAATAAAAACAATTATAATTATAGTATGCCTTCATAATTTGTGTGAACATGAATGGAAATTCTTATTTAATTAAATGAATCTTCATCATACTTTGCCTTAAAGAGGAACATTACCCATATCTTTGAAATGGCAACAAACACACCTTTAGAAATGTTTAGTAATGACAATCTACAGACATACTTATAGATAATTGCCAGATTTTTATTCTTTGCATTACTTATTATTCTTTTCCTCCACATTCTTCTCACAGTGGCCATTTTTACTAAGGACAGATTATTCCATCTCCCTTTACTTCCTGGGTCTCTGGCAAATTATGACCATGCAAATCATCTCTGGGGAGGAAATGCCTTTCCCTGAGATCTCGAGAGATTATAGATGATATTTCCCAGCAATGCTATGCTGATGTAACCTTCCTAGGATGCAACGCTTGGGCACATTACATCACCAATGTCAAAGAGGACTAGGCAGTGGAAAAACAATTATCATAAGTAAAAGAAAAAAGTGTTTGTTTAATTAATATGAGTTCATATCAGCATGCAGAGCTGCATTGTGAGATGATTTTTAGTGAAGTGGGTAAAGGTCTGCTATAAATAGCACACATTCAGATATAAGTCCAAAGATACATAGGCTAGTATTTAGCGAAAGCACCTGGACAACACTTGGGGGTGTATTTATAAAAAATTCACAGATATTGTTTCCTATGCTCCTTAGATACTCATTTCCTATGCTCCTCAGCTCCATCTAATGAACATAATGTGGTAGAAAAAAGCCTTATACTTGCTGTTAATAGTGCATTTTCTTCCTCTTCATAGGTGTTATATTGATGATGTTTTCTGTTTATGCCATGAAACATTTGATCTGGGAATTGATGCTAATAAAAGGAGACAAGTTGTTGCAGCAGTCCTGAAATTTGTCACAAAAATAATGCAGGAAGAGGCAAAATCACTGAGTGCAAGGTGAGATTTTAAAGTAACAGATTTAAAAAAGATAAAAATGCTTCATTGCAAAAGTTTTACAGGCTTAGTCCACCTTTTGCAAATATGTAGTAAATCAGGAACATTGGTTTCATTTTTCAGTGCTGTCTGCAGAACATTGCACCTATAGGTGGGTTGCACATGCAGTGCACAGGTAACCCCGAAGCCTCAGGCCCATACGGAGGCACAGATCTGCTATTTAGAAGTCTGAAGGACGTGCAACTGAAGTACGACTTGAAGAGGGAGGAGAGGTCTATGGAGTGTTCAGGCAGTAGTCCTGCTGCAGTGTCAAATTTGATGTAGTAAAATGGGCCCTTGACATGGATTTGCAGGTGGAGCCACGCATAGGCATGCTAAATATTTAGAAGATGTAGCAGGCAGAAGTTCCCCGTGATTCCGGTGAAGGGGGGGTTGGTTTGGGTTTTCTGGATGTTGTATGCAACCATGATTCATGTTACACCCTCAATATGGGTGTAACATCAAACACTGTCTACAAAGTGGACTTAGCCTTTAACACTTTATTGTTCTGCCTCTTCACTTTCTAATGGAAAACAAACATAAAAATGATAAATGTAAATTATTTATATTCCCTTGCAATATGCATTTGAACTTGGTAGAAAATTGGTCTACTTCATGAGCAGTCAATCCCTTAGTGCAACCCTTGCCCTAGCCCTCTCCTTTTCAGGGAGTGTCTAATTACTCTCCGTGCTGGCCTAGCTTCTGTATCCCTCCCTACATAACCTTTTATGTAGCTGTTGGGGGGAGAAGCAAAGATAAACACTATAGAGTGTCACTTGAGTGACAGCTTTGAGTCTGCTGGTGCTGCTGACATCACATAGAAGATGATGGCTCCCAGCAGCAGTCTAGGAGCTTTAGGATGTCTACACAATAGAGGCTTTTTCAGGTACATAATATGCATAAAATATGATCAATGCACATATTATCTTATGGGACGGACTTTGTTGAAATGAATGGTTTGGTAACGGTCTTTTAATGACGCATGTCAGATAGGCCATCAAATACACAGTTGAAATACATTATATTCCACTAATCTCAAACTCAGTAAAGTTTCCAATTTTCACAGCTTCAGGCACTTTTATCTGCTGCATTTTACATTTTTACCATTGCTGTTACAATTCGATACATTCTTCAGAGGATATAAATAGCACAGGGCATACACAATAGTAAAAACAAATACCCTCTAACATTTGTTTCCTTTAACTCTTACACTAGACTCTCTGATTGTGCAGTGTCCCAGAAGACTTTGTTTCCATCTTTTATTGTTGGAGTCTTTTGGCCTGAGACCAGGACTATGGTGTTTTTAACCAAGAATTTGACTGTCCTGACAGACCTGGTAATCTTGTTCCACAAGAAAGCACTTCATTCTGAGAGTGTAAGTATTTTAATAACCTTTCCTTTAATCTGGGGATCTATCTGTATTATTGCAATGCTGATGGTTCATTATTGGGAATGGAATCTGGAAGGCAGGAAGCTACCTATAGTACATTTAGTTTTAATACAGATGACAATTAAGACTGTTTAATCATCTTATATGCAGCTACATAAAACAAGTAGAGTTGGTAAGAGGTTCTGGGGCAGATCCATATTGGAGAGATTATGTTCCTGGAACTCCCAGTAGTTGTCTGAGAAAGATATTAGGAGGACATGGTCATCTTAGTCTGTTTGCTCTGAAAACTGATCAAAGATTGCACAAAGTAATAACAGATGTATGTTTTTAGCAGTGGTAATTTAACCATTGATTTATAGTAATTCATGCTATCTTTTTACTTTATAGTGTGACACCATCCAACCCACTGGGGGTGCTAGAAATCAGACTAACTGTAAGGAGCTTTGTTCTTTTTGAAGCTCATTATTTAAAAGACAAAATCACTTATGTGGACCTTCATTATTAAACGTCCATAATAATTTGTTCACAATTTTTCATGTGACAGCAAGGAATTAGCTTACATTCTAGGGAAAGACTTGACACAAAACTCATAATTTTGTGCTCCCTTTTCCCTGGTGATTTCCTCTTTCTCCAGTAGCTGTGTCTATAATAATTATCTGTAAGCCCCCATGGTAAATTATGTTATGGCTAGGGGAACTTCAGACCAGGGCTGCAGACAGGAGTATAATTGTACATGCAAGATTCCCCAATCAAGCTCCATTTCCAAATAATTAATTTTAGGCAGTGTTTTTTTAATTGTTTTCATTATAACAGCAGTGTATATTCCGATGCAGAAATGGATTCCTAGCAAAGGTTTAAAAAGGATAATATGTAATTGTGGTGTCTGAGTAAAATTTGCTATAGCTAGTAGTAGCTTACCTGTCCAAAGGTGGCCATAGACCTTTACTGAAGATCCAATGCCTTTGAGGACCTGCAAACATTGAGGCTTCTGATGAGAAAAGACTTTTCTTTTAATGAAGAAATACAGATGCCCACTGCCTGTTTATTCTCAGTGAAACAGCCTATATTGTTGCTGTATTGGGAACAATCTTGGGTCTTTGGGATGAGTTGGGTGCCTGTTGCCCAGGGCTTCTATGACGCATGTCATCCAGACAGGCTCCAAAAACATCCTGGATGATGTTACTTTTGTGTGCATGGACCCTCTCTCTTCCATTTATTTTCCTCTTTCTAGAAATATGCACAAATCCTTAGTTAAACATTTTTATTTATAGCAAATTCTGTCAGAGGTGGAGGAGGCTGTTCTGTTTTTGTCTGGATGAACAACTGTTCTCCTTTGTCTATGGGCACCTTTTAGTTTGATTATATTTTTTGACCTTGAAGCTTTTGGGTATAAAAGTGTACACATCAAGGTGTTTTACTTACTTTGTTGCATGTTGTGATTTCACTGATATTATTTTTATATGTAAAGGTGTTGTCCAAAGAGATTTCCACACTACTGAATGGAATGCTGTCTGCTGCTGCTGACTTCTGGATACTGCTTGGATTTTACCTGAACAAGAATTTGCTGCATCAGGTGGCCAGTGATTTTGTATACCACGTCTATGTTTTGTGTGAAGGTAAAGTTATGTCTTTCTACACACTTCCATTATACTTGTGTGTATGGAACTTGCAGCGGAAATGGTGCAATGAAAATATGTTATACTCATGGGCACTAACAGGACATCCTTGGTATAAAATCATATTTCATGACATTATTTATTTAACCACCTCCCGTCCATGGCCGTTCCTGAACGGCCGGACGAGAGCCTTGTAGGAGCGGGAGAGAGTCTTAAGAAGTCCTGCCCCTCCCCCCTCTCGTGCTGGGCATTCAGCACGCACACGAGTAATGAACTGTTAGCAATTTAAACAGCCAGCAGTTTACATTCAAGCGATCGGGCGTCTCTAGAGACGCCCAATCGCTTGCAGTAGCTGCAGGTGTGCAACCCCCCCCATACCTCCGCTGCTGCCGCTTCCTCGCTGCCGGTCCCGAGATCCGCTGTGCCCCCCCATCCTATCCGGTTGTAGGGACTTACCTTAAGTGATGCCATCTTCTTCCTATCAGTAGTTTCCAGCAGTCCCTCCAGCATTGGTGCCGGTCTCTGATCCAGCGCTGACTGCTGTGTCTTTCTCTCCCACGGAGTCTGGCCACCGTGCACGTTCACGGCTGCATGCATTGACTTGCATTGCATGCACGGCTGCATGGGTCTCTCCTCCTCTCCCCGCCGGCGATCTCTACTGCGCAGGCGCCCGCCCAGATCTTCCTGCCCGACAGTTCGGGGGAGCAGGATGCTGCACACGGGAGCGAGCAGCAGTGACGGAGGTAAGTTTTTACCTATTTGGTAACTTGGTAACTTTTTTTTTTTGATGTGTTTGCATATATCTGCTGCTTGCTAGCAGTAGATATATGTAAAAAATTAAGACTTTAATTCTATTTTGAAGCCTAATTCCAGGCAGCTACTATAAAAACATATTCATTAAAAAATATGTCAGTGTATTTATGAATGCAATGCATGTAAGTACCCAAATCTTTTTATCAGCCTCAAGTAATATCCTTTATGGTAGCACTGTGAGAGGAAAGAGCAGCATTAGAAACTAGTCATGTTTTGCTGCATTGCATCTCTGCTGACATGAGGAGAGAGAGGAATGACCTTATTAGTGGGCTGTTGCTCTTTGTTGAGGATGGAGGTGTGTTTTGGACCAAGCTAGGGGGAAGCTACAGTGCTTGTCATGGATCTGATGATGCAGTCTGACCTGGATTGCAAGATAGGCTGAACAGAGTTGCAGATGCTTTGGGAACTAAAGCTGTTCACACATGCATATTTCATCTGAATAATTTACTGCTCCCCTTGAGTTCAGCTTTAACCTTTTCACTTCCGCCAGCATATAAGCAGACAGCCAGGAGCTTGTTTACATTTTTACTACTGGCTTCCAGCTTTCTAATATAATTGATTAATTGCTGCAAAGCTGCCCGATCACTTTTACAGTGTTTTGCTTTTTAACGTATCACTTATGGACAGTTTAGTGTACCTTCTTTTGGTTTTAAAGGCTTGACATATTTGGTATTTGATTTACCTGATGCAATCTCAATTATTTAGTGTATATGTATTTATGTGTGTGTGTATCTATCTATCTATCTATCTATCTATCTATCTAGGTAGATAGATACACACAGATACACTATATATATTGCCATTTTATTCTACAAAGTCCCTGCTTTCAGAAAATATACAGTATAATGTTTTGGGGGTTTTAATTAATCTTTGGGCCTAAAATTTGCATTTTAACATTTAAAAATGGCTTTGGAAGCAAAAGCAGTATATCGAAATGTAGTCATATGGGCGAATTTGTTCTTTTCAAAGCCAACATTGTATAAGCTGAATTTCCCCTTTAAATATTTTAATCCCTGGCCTCTACTTTTGTTGCAGAGTTTACTTTAGAAGAGAAAGAACAGTTTGTTTGTTCTATCGCTTCATCTTGGCTTCAGATGTTGGTCTCAGAAGTAATATTTAAGAACCTTTACCTAGAGAACAGTGTCAACATGTCCTCTGAGCCAATAACTTTGGAGAAACTGGTAAGAAGATTTTTTTTTTTTTTTTTTAAGTTAAAGTTAATGTCTGAATCTTGAGAAAGCTTAAGGTAAGTTGAGTTTTCTGACTTAAAGCACAGTATAATCATAGAAATAGACATGCGGTCAGATAGATATTGTATTAACAACCTCTATTTTCATAGTATTACCTCCATCTTCTGAGGGTCTGACTGTTCAACAAGGAACAGTTATTTTCCCTTGTGCCTGCCCTGCTAGCAACAGCTGTGTGTTTAAACAGTCAGCAACCCAGACATGTGTAGTGTCAGCATGTACCCTTTTGTCCAGTGAAATGGCAACTTAAATCACTGAATGGGACTGCAAATGTTATCCTGTCCACATAGTGCAAAATTCAGCAAGGCTCATTTGTTTACCTCTGTGTTGCCTCCCTTCGTTAAGTTCTGCAGGACTTAAGAGCTTGGACTCCTTCAGGCCTCCTCTGCTGATTGACAGCAGCAGCAGTTGGTGGGTGCAATAGCCAGCCTGCTGTAAGCTATTGCTAGCCAATAACAGCCTAGCTATTCATTCCAGTGCTATCTTCTTTTCCATATACTCTGGCGGCAGCTGGCGGCCACTGTCAAAAGAAAACCAGATGGCAAGGGAATCGGCAGGTATCAGAGAAGCTAATGTTTTTTTATTTTCTCTTTGTATTCTCACAGTGGCCGCTGTCAACAGGAAATCGGCCGATATCAGGCAACTTCCTGCTGTTTACATCCAGCTGGATGTAAACAGAATATCAGTACCTGATATCGATTATCAGCCTGAAATGTGGCCAATAATCAGTATTGGTACAGAGAAATCCATATCGATCCAATGTTGATCCCTTATACAAACCACTTATTATGTTAACATTGACTTACTTCAGGATTCTTTTATATAGTATAATACAAGATTGAGATACACTATATTGCCAAAAGTATTGGGACACCCCTCCAAATCATTGGATTCAGGTGTTCCGTGAAATTTCCTTGCTACTAAACTGTTAGTGGTATTGTAACAAATTAGAAGTGACCGGGAAACACAGCAACTCAGCCACAAAGTGGTAGGCCACGTAAAATGACAGAGTGGGATCAGCGCATGCTGAAGTGCACAGTGCGCAGAAGTCGCCAACTGTCTGCAGAGTCAATAGCTACAGATCTCCAAAACTTTGTGTGGCCTTCAGATTGACACGACGACAGTGCGTAGAGAGCTTCATGGAATGGGTTTCCATGGCCCAGCAGCTACATCCAAGCCTTACATCACAAAGTGCAATGCAAAGCGTCGGATGCAGTGATGTAAAGCACGCCGCCACTGAACTCTAGGGAAGTGGATATGTGTTCGCTGGAGTGATGAATCACGCTTCTCTATCTGGCAATCCGATGGACGTGTCTGGGTTTGGCGGTTACCAGGAGAACAGTGCTTGCCTGACTGCATTGTGCCAAGTGTAAAGTTTGCGGGAGGGGGGATTATGGTGTGGGGTTGTTTTTCAGGGGTTGGGCTTGGCCCCTTAGTTCCAGTGAAGGGAACTCTTAAGGCATCAGCATACCAAGACATTTTGGACAATTTCATGCTCCCAACTTTGTGGGAACAGTTTGGGAATGGCCACTTCCTGTTCCAACATGACTGCAAACCAGTGCACAAAGTAAGGTCCATAAAGACATGGATGAGTGAGTTTGGGGTGGAGGAACTTGACTGGCCTGCACACAGTCCTGACCTCAACCCGATAGAACACCTTTGGGATGAATTAGGGCGGAGACTGCCAGCCAGGCCTTCTTGGCCAGCATCAGTGCCTGACCTCAAAAATGCGCTTCTGGAAGAATGGTCAAACATTCCCATAGACCTACTCCTAAACCTTGTGGACGCCTTCCCAGAAGAGTTGAAGCTGTTATAGCTCCAAATGGTGGGCCAACTCAATATTGAACCCTATGGACTAAGACTGGGATGCCATTAAAGTTCATGTGCGTGTAAAGGAAGGCGACACAATACTTTTGGCAATATAGTGTATGTTGTAAAGTGGGTTATAAAGTGATTGTGTGTATTTCATGTTGAATATTTGAATAACCCTCCGCTGAAATAGAGCTTTACAGAACAGTGAATTGGTAAAATGTTGTGAATTGTTAATGCAACAAAACCAATTCTTAAATTGCCCCTTTTGTATACAAAGTCATTTTTTTTATTTTAATGGCCAGAACATAATGTATATCTTTTGATGTGATGTTTCGACAAGTTTCATTAGTTGAACAATTATTCCCTTTCTAGGTTAAAATAAGTTGTGCCTAAAGGCTACACCATGGTTATACAGGAAAGGAGAGGAACTTTTCCAGTTGCATTACTATCACTGAGGCTTTTTTAAAACGTTTTGCTGTTGTGCATTCCACATAGTTTTATCAAGAGGATCTGCAAAGAACCTGTAGGGATATTTGTCCTTACTCACCTCCTAATTAGCTCTGACTGCTCTTACTAATTTTTCAGGTCAGGTCTTGGCAGAGGGGCAGCTGTTATCACTCAGAACTGTCCCTTTAGCTTTCACACATCACTGCACAAAGTTAACCCTTAGGGCACGTACACAAGCATATTCTCAAGTTTCCTTCTATTCAGAATGCAGCTTGAGAAAACCACTGTAAAGATAGCACAGGGCTTAGATCTCTCTCCTTTGCCTTATGCTGAACACACAGGCAAAAATGATATATGTGGTACAGACCCTGCAATCCTACTTGCATCCTCAGAGCTTTGTAGTTGACTTCTGTCTGTGGTTTTAGGATAGACAGTACTTAGTACTACATAGCTGTCCTGAGCTCCAGCAATTGTTCTGCTAGTATTGTAGAGTAGAGAATGTATCTTGAAATGTAACTCTAGTCTTCTGTTCTAAATGCTCTCATATTTTTATTATGTTAATAATTACGTAAAATAAATAATTACACAATAGAATACAATTTTAACATGTGCTGAACATTGAGCATTATTGCTTAAAAGTTTAACTTGCAAGCTTTAGAGTCACTTTGTCATTTAGGGCTGTATGCCTATTACAGCTTCCTCTTTAATTAATGTGATTTACAAAGCAATGAATGAAGAGACATTAACAGTGTGATGTCTAAACTATCATGAAATCAGGCACGTGAAATCAAAATAGGTGTATATCCATTTTGTTTTTAAAGGTTAGCTAGACCTTTGCATGTTTTTTGCATATATCTACTGCTAGAAGGCAGACGATGTATGCAAAGGATTAAAAGGGTTAAAATTTACCTGTGTCTCTGCCGCACGCTCCCGTCTGAACATCTGACGATTCTTGAGCAGCCGCAAAGGATCGTGTGCAGTAGAGATCTTCAGCCGGGAGAAGAGGAGAGACACAGGGTAAGTCAATGCAAGCAGCCCGGCAGAGTGCACGTGCACAGACTCTGTGGGACACAGCAGTCAACGGTGGATCAAAGACCGACACCATCGCTGGAGGGATTGCTGAAAACTACCGGAAAGTACAAGATGATAGGATCAAGAGGCATCATTTAAGGTAAGTCCTTACACTAGCATTGGGGGAGTTTGGCTTTAATGTCTCCACAAACCTGGGTGAAAAATAATGCAAATATTGAAAAATGTATATTGCATCCGATTTTTTTTTTTTCTTTAACTGTCAAGATGAGCCCCTCCCTCCTTCAGTGCCTTCTTTTGGTCCTTTAATGTTATAGGAAAGCTTGCTGACTAATAGGGAGATGTTAAAGGAGGACAGGGCTGGCTTGAATAGTTAAGATTTGCATACAACTTCAACTGCCTTTGCGTCTGGGCCTGCTTGTTGACATGCAGTTTTTGCAGAAGATAACATCAGCTTATGCATTCCTTCATAATATATCAGTTTGAGTATATGATTTAATAATATATGTGTGGAAATACATTGGAGGGGATTTATCAAAACTGGAGCAGACAAAATCTGGAGCAGCAGTGCATGGCAACCAATAAGCTTCTCTCTTTCATTTTCAAAGCTTAACTGAACAAACTGAACAGAGAAGCTGATTGGGTGCCATAGGCAAATGCTCCAGATTTTGTCTGCTTCAGTTTTTATAAATCCCCCCCCCCATTTTTGCCTTAATAAAATATGGCAGGTGATTTTTCAGTTACCATATCAGGAGGCTAAAGCGCCTGCCTAGAATGATCCTGTCAACTCATAAAGCACTGCTGTGATTGCTGATGGATTTTTACTGGCCCCTCAGTAACTAGAGCACAATTAAAGTTTTTAACGTGCTTGGCCACAGACCTCTGATCAGTGACCCGTCAAAGTCTAAGCAGGGACTGCAGGCTGACCAAGAACTATCCAACTTGCCATTCTACAGAGTTGGCGTGCCAAGTAGTTATTAAATTGTATGCTGATCCTTACATTAATTGGCCTAATGTGAGGAGGTCTGTTTTGGGCTCCTGGCAGTACTTAATGGTAGAGATGGTTTACACACACACACCAGGGCTTGTTCACTTGAAGGCTCTGTGCAATATTGTTTCTAAAATAAATTGGCGTAAATAGTCTAATGCCAGAGCTTGTTTAGATCTCTATATGGGTTATATTTATTAATTTTTCTGTGCTACCCTACTTTAAGATCATTCACAAGCTAGGTGAGCCATGTGGTGTCTATGCCCACTTTTACCATTGACAACTCTGACAGACTTAGGAGGTGGGGCAAACAAACACCTCTCCTAATTTTCCAACTTTTTTACATGCATATCACTTTTGTAAGCATGGGGACCACAAAAACAGTATGTTTAAGTAGGATTGTACTTTTTTAATATTTTGAGGGCATTGTTACCAGTTTAGATGTAAATAGTCTTTAATGATCTGATTGCGTTTGATGTTTTTTTTTCTATCAAGAGCGTTCTTGCAATCCATAGTTGTTAAATATGTAGATTTGTTCCTTATTTAGTGCAATTTTCTTATACAACATCTCTGCCTTCAGACCCGCATGTATATCCCAGCTCTCTGGAAAGCAGAGGCAAGTGGCAGTGAAGAAGTCCAGAAACTCAGAGGAAAAAGGAAAATAGGGCAGCGGCCTTGCCAAGGCGATGTGCTGCTTGATCTGCCGTAAGTAATACCTATAACATCACCATTTTTCTGCTTTGGGGGACAGCTTCTGACCTGACACATATCCTGAACTTTGTGTGACCTTTGTTGTTGTCTGCAAATGAATCTGACTGTCAGAAAGCCTTTTTGTGTTTAACCTACAACACATCTCGTTGCTCTCTGGTGATTTGCTCCAGACAAGCCTGGCAAGGGCGCAGTGTTCAATTTCAACATGAATGCTGATTGTTCTAATTTTTTTTTAGTTTTTGCAAAATACCCCTTTTTTTTTCTTTTATAGTTTGCATATCATTAAATGTATTTATTTTGCAAGTCCTTTGCTGATATATGTATAAATATTGCAACTTAAACTGAAGAAGATATCTTATATCCTGCTCACACCAGAGTTTTACTGACTGCACTGCCACTGAAAATCCTATATGTTCGGGCCCATTCACACCAGACACAGTGCATTCTGGCCCGATTCTGGCTGGAATGCACTGGATCGCATTACGGCCCGGCTCACTATGTTGTGGGGGGCGGGAGGGGACGTGGCGGTCCATTGAAGTGAATGGCACCGTAGCCACGCCCTCTGGCCGCAATGCAATTGGCTGCATGGGAACGCGTGGCACATCAATGCATGCGGTCCAGTTCAGTCCGGTCAAAAAAAATGCTGCAAGCACTGTTTTTTCTGACCGGACGAGAACGCAGGAATTTATGTGCCACGCGTTCCCGTGGAGCCAGTCGCATTGCGACCAGAGGGCGTGGCTACGGTGCCATTCACTTCTATGGACCGCCTCCCACCCCACAACATAGTGAGCTGGCCGCAATGCGATCCAGTGCTTTCCGGACAGAATCTGGCCAGAACGCACTTTGTCTGGTGTGAACAGGCCCTATATCCCATGTGACCATATACTGTATGCGTGTTGCATTATAGTACTGTATCTTGTAAAAAAAAAACCTCCAAAATAAACAGTACTTTTTTTTTGCCTGCGTCCTCTAGCAACAACCACCGGCCTGCTGGCACTTGCAAGGCTTACATGGTCCTTGCTGTCAATTTTTACTTTTTTTTTTAAATTAAATCCATAATAGGACCGTACAAAAATCCATAAGAACAAAAAACATTTTCAACTAAACTCTTGAAAAAGAGCGATTTTCAGCTTGAAACATGGAGGATTTTTACCTGTGTACTGCTATATTATGGATATTTATATTATGTATAGAGGTTTTGCTGAATTTAAGTTCCAAAGGCAGAGCACCTTACTATGAGCCTCTTTTGACAGACTTTAGGCTCTTCACATTAGATTCAGATTGAGATGTTTCTGAGATCATTCAGAATTCATTGACAAGTACATTTGACCTCCTTCTGACCTGCATTTGAACTATTGTAAATGGGTTTTGCATTCTCATGCAGTTGTATGGGAATGCAAAACCCTTTTGAAGCGAACAAAAACTTCTGGACACAGGCCCTCAAGTTTACCATAAACGTTACAATATGAATGTACAATCTCCTTTAGATCTAACAACAACTGTGTAGTTCAAGGGCCTGCCTGATTGGGTGGGTTGGGCAGGTCCTCGTACTATGGTTTTTGTAAATCTAAAGTTGATTGTACAAAGATTGTATGGTCAGATTGTGTAACATGTGGTGACCATAAGACTTTCAAAGCTATTTTAAACAAATGAGTGCTGTTGCCATCTGTAGTACTGCAACACTTATTACAGGGCACACATGAATGCAAATACATAAAAAAATGTGTTCACACACAGGCATCAATTCACTGTGTGATCTCATAAGGCATATAAAACTTTTTACCGATTGGTCACTAGTTTCATTGTCATGAATTGTAAATCAGCCAACGAAACATCGGCTTCTTCGGATACTTATTTATTTAAAAGTGTATAGCAGATTAGCAGAAAGTTAGTAAGTAAAGTATTACACCACATCTGTCAGTAAATCACCACAAAGTAACTGTCTGAGTATATACTAACTATGTACAATTTGGTTTTATACCACAGGAATTATCTTTAGCTGACCTGCTTCTCTTGTGGGCCTCTGTGGAAAACAATGTATAGGAGAAGTGTACAGTTTATTCCTTTCCAATGTAGTTATCCTAATCTCATGCTATGAAGAGAGAGATACATGACCTTGTGTGCTGTGGCAGGCTCTGCAGATTGCTTGTCAGTTTGTGGAGGGACACCCAAGAGGTGTGTGGAGGATAAGACTGCAGGCTCCTGCTGTAGTGTGGGATTAGGGACTTATACAAATGAGAAATGGAGTGCTCCTTGTTAAAAGCATTTTTTATGATCCGTTTCCTAAACCTCAACCTCTTGTTATAATTTGCATGGTTTTCCCAGGGCTACCTATCTTTACCCACATGTATTGCTCTAAAAAAAAAAAAAGACAAACTCAAGGTCAAGCATACCATCTCACAACGTATGTATTATAATTGTTTTAAATATTTTCAAGCTTATGTAATCATTGAAGTGTAAAAACAATTATAATTAGGGATGCACCGATACAAGTATTGGTGCCGATACAGAGTATTTACTTGGCCAAATGCTCCCAATACCGGAACCCCCGGTGACGAGGGAGCATGGAGCCGGCTTCAAGACCAATCAGGAAGCCAGGCGGTGAGTCAATAGACTGTGATGTCACCAAACTGGGTATTTAAATGTTTTCTAGGAATTCTGCTTTTGCTCAAACGAAAAAAAAAAAAAAACATTTTCTAATGGAAACTGGGCTATGTGTACAAAGTTATTATTCTGTATTACTTACAAAATGAAGAACAATAATCTAAAATAGAATAAAACTTAGAATACCGACGACCAAAAACATTTTTTTTTAAATGTTAACATTTTTAATTAATTATTACATTTCAAAGGGTTTTAAACTTTGCTTACTAAAAACACATGGCATGTTCATGTCCATAGACTGCCTTGTCCACCTTGGACTACATAAAATATAACTTTCCCAAAAAAAACATTTTTAGGAAAGTTCAACATTTTTAATTGAAAAATGTACCAACATTTCAACCTCATAACCACTAAATCTCTTCCTAAGCTTCCATTAAAGGCTTTGTCTTTCAGCAGGAGAAACTCTGCTGTCTACATTTCACACTTAAACATCATCTTTAATACCTGAAGCTAAGGGATGAATCAGCCACAAAATGCAGATGTCATTTGTGCACATTTAGCAGGGTAAATCGCAAACAAAGTTTTGTACATGTCCATGTTGTGTGCAAATTTGCTTATTAATGTAGTGAGAAAATGTTAGTAAATCGGGTTTGATTAAAAAAGTTATAATTCAAAAACAGGCTAAGAAAAGACAAGCAAACTCATTTGACCCCTTTGTGAATTGGGCCAGAAGCTTTTTAGCCTCAACCCTGTCTGAACATGCAGCATCATCTCTTGGTTTGTTTCATGAAGTGTGTTTAAGCCACATAAGTAGTAAGCTGCTGTTGATGTGCTTATCTGGACATGTGTACTTGATGTAAATTTGAAAGTATATATAGTTTTGCCGTCTTTGTTAGAACACTTTGCTAGCACTATAAATTGTCACAGATTATCAGCTAAATATGGTTGTAAATGTTAAAGTAACCAGAATACTTCCGTGCTGAAGACATCTGTGATTCATGTGTTTGGCATTCTTTCCATTTTGCTGTCTTCAGACAGGATATGTAACAGAATAAATGAGTGATTATCCATTAGATGGGAATCGGGTTGTAAGCAGGTATGGCTAACAGGTGTAGGTCTTTTCAGATGTAATAATTGTATATGGGACAAAGAATTTTCCTGATGCCTCCCAAGATATACAACCTGTCTCAGACCCTTGATGACCCCAAATTAATATCCATGCCTGCAGGTGTGTTTCTGAGTGAAAACAATCCAGAGGAAATCCTACACAGCTCTCCGGAGTGAAGTAACTGCCCCCTTTCAGGTTACATGTCTGCTGGGTAGCTTAACATCTACATTTATTATTTAAGCACAAAGTACTTTCTGATATACTTTTCACATTAAAATTAATGTATGAAACCAATAACCAAATTCTAGAGTACCAGAATTGATTCCTTTAATGGCAATGCCAACCTATTTTTATTTGGGACATAAGTAGTATTTTTTTAATTATGTAGCACCATGATATTTCTACATCATTTTACAGGGTGTACTGTACAATGAACAAACATAAATTAATATTTTGTAGTGAACATGTGGGGGGGACCTGGAAATGGTCAAGTAAGATCATCCAACTTTTCTACACCAATACATTTATATGCATATTCTACAATAAACAGTGGGGTGGGGGGATTTATCAAAACTGGAGTAGACAAAAACTGGAGATGTGCATTGCAACCAATCCGCTTCTCTCTTCAGTTTGTTCAGTTAAGATTTGAAAATGAAAGAGAGATGCTGAATGATTGCTGTGCACAGCTGCTCCAGTTTTTGTTTGCTCCAGTTTTGATAAATCCCCCTCACTGTGTTTTCCTAGAGCTATGATGGAATAAGTTAAAAGTTAAATAAAACAACAAGAATCCCACTAATTGGCATGTCACCCAGAGAAACACATTGTACCAAGAGAGAATACAAATTCTTCGTCTGCATAGAGATAATATAGGTCCTTCTTCCAACAAGGGAATATACAGTAAGTCTTTATCTATGGGTTGGTGATTTATCTCCATGTGGAAGAAGGACTTCAAGAATTCTCTCGGTGTAAGCCATAAGAATTGTTCTGAGTATATGTACATGTAACCGAGAACTAGTTGATGTTCTGTGTTTGAAGGGGCATACATGATGATTACAATGTTTCAGTTAACCAAACAATAGTTCAATAGTTGTGCTCTAACCTGTAACATAGATCACATTAGGGAGAAGGATGAATGCTACCAATTTTTGTCATTTTTATGTTCACCGTGGCCTTATGAGCCACCAACACTCCATTTCTTTAAAGAAGTCTCACTGTGCATCAACACTATCCCCAGGCAAAAAAATGCATGTAGCAATATACGCCACTGTAGCAATGCATCCAGTCTCTCTAGCGTGCCTCATTGCTGAGATTCCACCACCAATTTCCAACTATGTATCTGGCATGGAGAATATTTATTTCATTCTGGACTGAATGTGCTTGTCTCAGGAACCACACACTTCCCCAATACCAACACTGTCAATCATAGTTAGGTGTGCAGGGGAAAGGGGGGGGGGGGGTCAGTTCCTCTGTTCTACCTCATCTGTCTCTTTATTGGTTGTTTGGATGCAGGTGGTCCCTGCTGCACAGTGTCCTTGGTTGCTGGGACACAGAAGGCTGTCTGCACTATACAAACCAATGGCACTGTGCAATTGCTTGTATTAATAGACAGCCAATTAATGAGCACACTGTGTACTCTCATACCTATTTGCAGCAGAATTATTTTTACCCAATCAATAGGGAGGAGGCTGCTCCACCCCACCTATTTTGTTTATTGTTCTTCTTTCCAGTTAGCAGTGTTGCTTCTGAAGTTCACCCATGCATTCCTATTAATATATATTAGGGATGCACCGATACTAGTATCGGTGCCGACACAGAGTATTTGGGCGAGTACTCATACTCGCACAAATGCTCCGATACTTACCTCCGATACTGGAACTTCCAGTCAGAGGGAGATCTCCATCTGATCGGGAGTGCTGAGAGAGCATGACCCACCTCCCGGCTTCCTGATTGGCTAGAAAACCGGCTTCACGTGTTGCTAAGCAGCCTGGCTTCCTGACCCATCAGGAAGCTGGACGGTACCTCATGACTCGCTTCGGTCAGAAAGCCAGGCAGCCACTGAAGCCGGAGTTCTTTTGCCAGAACACCGGCTTCACAGGCAATTAGGAAGCCAGGCAACGGGTCATGATCCGGCACCTGTACTCGGTATCGGTGAGTACCGGGGAAAAAAATGATCTGTACTCGATACCAATAAACCGGTATCGGTGCATCCGTAATATATAGTGCTATGTATGTAGATGCTGTCAGGCAGCTGCCCGTGCTATAGAAAACGATGGGTTCTGGGTCTCTGGAGAAACAGCAATTCTTTGTGTGAACATATGGGTCCATAACTGGTCAATAATGCTTCATATGGCTACCTTTCTTTAGTTTTTCTGCATTCTTTTCTAGGTTGAAATTGGATTGATTTACTAAAGGCAAACAGGCTTTCCCCTTTGCAAAATAATTTTCCCTTAGCTTAGTGTATGTGGTGACAGTTTACTTGGCAAAGAATACACAATCGCATGCAAAGAAAATGTAATTGCAAAAAAAATTACTTTTTGCTTGTGCATGAAATCAGAAGAGCTTCACCTCATTCACTAAGCTAAGGGGAAATTCTCTTGAAAAGTGAACAGTCTATTTGCCTATAGTAAATCATACCCATGTGCTAAATGTGAGGAGCCTCCACACAAACATTATACAGTTTATTTCCAGAAGGTAAAGGTCATTTACTCCGTCAGTTGTGTTAAAATACCTTAGTGAGTATGTTTAGGAAGTGTTTGGGCTACATAGAGGTTCACTGGGAAAGAGAAAAGTGTTTTAACGTTTCAATAAGTAGGTTTTTTTATTTTATTTATGAGTATCCCTCACATCGTTACCTTCTACAATGAAGCTGTTAGAGAAATGAGCCTTTATCAGGAAGACTGAGCTAAACTATTTGACTAGATGTTTTTATATTCTCAGTTCTGAGTATCTTTGTCAGGTGCTCTCCTAACCAGTTCTTTTCAGCACAGCTGATTTCTCTGCTCTCCTTCCTGAGAAAGGGTCACGAATTTAATGCTTTGGGAACGTTACCAAAATGTATGTATTATTGCTATTTATATAGTGCTGACCATTTATGCAGCGCTTTACATACTGCACATTCACATCAGTCTATACCCTCAAGGAGCTAACAATCTAAGGTCCCTATGTCACATGCATACATACACAGACACACACTACGGCTGATTTAAGGTGCCCATACACCTGCCGATTATTGCACGATAATCGCGTCTGATCCCGCGATCGTACGATAATCGTAAGGTGTATGGGCAGCGTGCGACCGCATCCACTGTACGGTCGCACGACTTTCGTACGATTTTCGGCGGGTTGGTAGCGTGCTCTGAAGACGAAAGCCGCACAGACCGGTGTGCGCAAGCGTACACTGCCCGCTCAGCATTGCAATCATCGGCAAGCCCTCCCCTCAGCAGGGGGGGGGCTTGCGATAATCGCAAGTACGATCTGCCTGTCCAAGATGGGCAGGCCGTACGAAATTTTAATGATCTTACAACCATCGCACAACGAAAGTCGTGCGATGGTTGTAAGGTGTATGGCCAGCTGTAGACAGAAGTCAATCAACCTACCAGCATGTCTTTGGAGTTGAACATTTTCAAAGGGAACATATTTGATGGTAAGACAGAATGTAGTTACATATTCTTTACTTTTTAAAGATAACGGATCTTGAGTAATAATATTTACTTCAAAATAACTGGTGTTTTTTTAAACTTGTGACTTGTGTGGCACATAGGGCTGCAACCAACTAATTGATAATGAGATTAGTTGTCAACTATTTTCATTATCAATTAGTTGGTTAGATCACCTAGCTTTCTCCTCCACGTTGGGAGGAGGCCACAGCAAGTATTGGGCGGATGCAATAGCAAGCCTGCTATTGCAATTTGAAATGGCCAATAGTAGGCTGGCTATTGCACCAGCCCACTACCTTCTGTATTTACATTCAGCTGCCGTCTGCGGAATCTTGCCACTGGCAGCTGTCATTCCCTGGCTACAAATTCTGCTACGGGAGGTGCGTTGCAGTGCCATTCATTTCAATGACAGCCCAAACGCGCCTCCAAAAAATTGTGCAATCAGTTTTATTATGAAGTAAACTTTGTAACACTACATTTGTGTATTTCATTTTAAATTACATTTTTTATATCCCATTAATCAAAAAAATAATCGACCAACTAATCGATTATGAAAATAATCAGAAGTTCCACAGCTTTGCATTGAAATAAATATAAAATAATTTTATGCATACATGTTTAAAAAATTCATTTTTTTCATCTTTGCAATTTATTTTAAGTCTTTGCAATTTATTTTAAGTCAACTTTTTTTGGGTTTGAATAGGATTGCTTCAAAGTTGAGAAAAAGGGCACAAGGAAGTGCTGGTCCTACAGTACCACAAGTAAACAACTGCCAAAACAGAAAAGGTAGATGCAATTTCTATATATGAATCCTGTTATGGTTTTACATGTCAAGGCATTTTTATTTGTCCCATTAACCTGTAGTAGATTTTAAAGTTCACTTCACACAAATAAACACTCCACCCTCCCTAGCTCCCTATGGCAAGCACTAACCTCTCTTTCACTGTGGCGGCCTCCTCCAGTGTTTACTTGAGCCCAAAATCTTTACCCGTCACAGTAATTCCCCAAGAAATTGAATTCAAGTCCGTGGGAGGTTACTGCACAGATGCGGCCTACACAGGAGAATATTCTGGGGCTGTGGATGTTAATATCGAGAGAAAGAAGCAAGTGGGTGGGGGTGTTCTTTGTTAGAAGGTAGGGGGGCGGGGCATCTTGTTTTTGTTTTTTGTAAAGTGAACTTGTTCCTTTAAATTAAACATTTATTTTTAAACTTCATGTTATAAGTATGTTACCCCTTGTCCAAGGCCCAGAGGTGTTCCTCTCAGTATTTCTACTGAATCAGCCCACAAAATACCAGCATCCAGGAAGTAGGTGAAGTGTACAAATTATATTCTTTTGTTTTTAATAATCTCATATGTTTTTAAAAATCGGGGGAAAATCAAGTCAGTTTTTGCAATATCGATTTCTTTAGCCATTAACAGCATAATTTCTGTACAATTTGTGATTTGACCATACATCTGTTCTGCTATTGGTGTAGCTGTCATCTGATTTTGTAGTATAATTCTGTCTGCCTGTTTCAGACCTAGACATTTTGTGAACAAAGGCTGGGTCTCGTTAGTTTGCACAAATTTCAGCATATGGACTGTTTTACTCCAGGCACTGAGCCCAGACTGCATCACCCTTGGCTTCATTTAAAACTGTATTTAAGCCCAAATATTTCACAATGCAGTCCTGTTATATTTGCCTCATCCCCCCACACAAGTTAGTCAAGAAAGTACTGCAGTACTTGTTCCAAATTAGTAAGTAGGTTTTAGATTCTTTAACAAATCTCTTTACAAGATATTAAGTAATGTCACAGATGCAATACACACATTTAAGACAGTGTACAAGAGAGAGGTTCTGTAATGCATACAAGTAATGATATACATATATTTAAACTCCCTCCCTTACTTTTAGCACATTTTGTGCTGCTACAACATTCATTTTTTACCATTTTATTTACACAACATACTAAACAAAATAGGCGCAAAATATAATTTTTTTATTGTGACACAAATGTTAACAAAATAGCGGACATTTGACGTTTTCACATGTTAAATATGAGATTGATACACACCAATACAATATCATAGAAGTTTATTCTGCTTGACCATAAAATCTAACCTGGCAAAAACTGTTCAAACCTCTTATATATATCTCAAAGTAATATAAACAGTGAGGGTCAGAGAAGTGGAATGTGACTTCATTAAGACAGTCTTGTATTAACCAGCAGAGGCATTACTTTGTAAAAGCTTCTTTGACAGTGATTACAACTCAGTCTTTTGGTTTAAGATTCTACCAGCATTGTTCCTCCTTAAGGCAAAATTGCTTCAGCTCTATCTGGTTGAATTGGAGCTGTTGGTAAACAGTAGTTTTTTTGTTGTGCCAGAAATTCTTTAACTTTTGGGCTTTGGGCCATTTCAGTATCATTTCAGCCATGTTTAGGATCACCGTCCTTCTAGTAGGTGTTCCTTGCAGACTGAAATATTTTGTTTGGGATTGCCTTGTATCGGACTCCATCCATCCTGACCTCAGTACTTCGCTACATAGTTCTTAGTCCATATCAGTGAAAAGCATTTCCACATCATGATTCTATGAATGTCATGCTTTATCATGTGGATTGTCCTCTCAGATTCATGAGAATTGCTGCCTATTTACCACACACACACAATTTTGGATTAAGGGTGAATAATTCAGATTTAGCTCTATTAGAACCCATTTCCCACGTTTGCTAAGGCTACCATTTTACAAAATCCACTGGATATGTTTTTTAAAAAAAATCTCATCTTTGTAGAGTGTATGGGTAAGAAAACCCCTATGGACAGTTTTTCCCATCCGGGCTGTGGATCTCTACATCTCCTCCAGTACTTTGTTTGTTTGTTTGTTTTTTTTTAATAATGGCGTGGTCTTTATGATGCTGCTTGTTTACTTTTTTCTCTATCTAACTCTGCCCCCCCCCCCCCCCCAGACACTGGTGAATTTATTTTGAGAACATGTGACACTTAAATGTAGTTTAAGAACTCATTTAGAAATCGCACTGTAAAACTGTTGAATACTTATGCAGTAATTATGCCTAAAAAAGATTTATTGGTAATTTGGAAAACGATTTCTTTTCTATTTGGACATTATATACTGTTTTATTTTGAACATTGATATAAAATCCCAGTTATATGCTTTTTTATTACAGGTTATAACACTACAAATTTATGTAGTAGTTGTGGCAGTGTTACAGTAGGATTTAACAATGCAATCCTGTCATTAAGAGTTAATTTTTTTCCTAAATATGTATTCACTATTTACCCACACTATGTGTGCCGCTTAGACAGGACTGAGTACACCATTAACATTATGCAAAAGTGCATGTTGTCTCAGTACTGTAGATGTACAGACACATGCAGTTGGCAGATTAATATGAAAGCTGATTAACTTTTCAACATGTTTTTGGATTGAGGGAAGAAACCAGAGCAGAGGAAACCCACACAAATAAAAACTTTTGTTTGCAGTAATTTGCCAAAAATAAGTAATATATAATTCTGCCTACTTGTAAAAATGGGATTTTGGCATAACATGGTGGGCATGGCAAACAGAAATTCATTCTGATTTTCTGGTTTGGCTGAACTGATTAATCTGGGACAAAATGTTAAATTGTGACAGGCTGGCAGTGTGACTCGGAATACTTGATACACATTTAATTCACATTGGCTGGTGCTTTAGTAATGAAAAGAATATTGATATCTCAATGTCTCCCATGATTATTTACTTCTAGTAAATAAAGTGCTTGCAGGTATTAGTTGGAAGGTTGTGTTTTGTGTTGCTTTCCATGTTTTCACAATGCCCTTCAACATGAATATATCAAATCAAAACTATTTGTAATCAGAGTGTATACAGTGAGGAAAATAATTATTTGATCTCCTGCAGAATTTGTAAGTTTGCCCACTTACCAAGAAATACAAGGTCTATCATTTTTATCATAGGTGTATTTTAAATGATAGAGACAGAATATCAACCAAAAATCCAGAAAAAACAATGAAACAAATGTTATAAATTGAGTTGCAGTTCATTGAGTAAAATAAGTATTTGATCCCCAAGCAAAACATGACTTGGTACTTGGTGGAGAAACCCTTGTTGGCCAGCACAGAGGTAAGACGTTTCTTGTAGTTGGTTACCAGGTTTGCACACATCTCAGGAGGGATTTTGGTCCACTCTTCTTTACAGATCTTCTCTAAATCCTTTAAGGTTTCTTGCCTGTCGCTTGGCAAATCGAAGTTTCAGCTCCCTCCATAAATTGTCTATAGGATTAAGGTCTGGAGACAGCTAGGCCACTCCATGACCTTAATGTGCTTCTTCTTGAGCCACTGCTTTGTTGCCTTGGCGGTATGTTTTAGGTCATTGTCATGCTTAAAGACCCATCCACGACCCATCTTCAGTGTTCTGGCTGAGGGAAGGAGGTTCCCAAAGCATAATGTTTTCACCTCCGTGCTTGACTGTAAGGATGATGTTCGTAGGGTCATAGTCATCATTTTTCTTCCTCCATACACGGCGAGTCAAGTTAATGTCAAAGAGCTTAATTTCGGTCTCATCTGACCACATCACTTTCTCCCAATCCTTCTCTGAATCATTTAGATGCTCATTGGCAAACTTCAGACGGGCCTGTACATGTGCCTTCTTGAGGAGGGAAGCCTTGCGGGTGCTGCAGGATCTCAATCCATTGCGGTGTATTGTGTTACCAATGGTTTGTTTGGTGACTGTGGTCCCATCTGACGTGAGATCATTCACAAGCTCCTCCTGTGTAGTTCTGGGCTGATCCCTCACTTTTCTCATGATCATCCTTACCCAATGAGGCAAAATCCTGCATGGAGCTCCAGACCGAGGGCAATTGATGGTTATTTTGTATTCCTTCCATTTACGAATAATCACTCCAACAGTTGTTTCCTTGTCACCAAGCTTCTTGCTGATTGTCTTGTAACCCATTTCAGCCTTGTCCAGGTTTACAATCTTGTCCCTAACATCCTTTGACAGCTCTTTGGTCTTACCCATGGTGATGAGGTTTGAATGGAAGAAAGAGATTGTGTGGACAGGTGTCTTTTATATACATAACGAGTTGTCGTTAGGAGCACCTTCTTAAACTGACAGGACTAATCTGTGTACCACATAGCCAGTCTTTGGGAGCCAGATTATTGTTGGTTGGTAGGGAATGAAATACTTATTTTACTCACTGAACTGCAACTCAATGTATAACATTTGTTTTTTCTGGATTTTTGGTTGATATTCTGTCTCTATCATTTAAAATGCACTTATGATAGAAATTATAGACCTTTCATTTCTGTGTAAGTGGGCAAACTTACAAAATCTGCAGGGTATCAAATCATTATTTTCCTCACTGTATATGGTAAATAGTATGATTAGTCTTCCGCTTGTATTTGCGGGTCAGACTATAAATGATTTCTTTTTTGTAAATGACCCACACTTTGTACTGCAAAAGCTTATTGAGCAGAATGGCTCTGAACATGCTGTTTCTAGCAAAGCACTCACTTTGCTGCATCATAGCGAACAGTGTCATAGATGCAGCATTTAAATGATCTGATGCGCCGGAACTTTTTAACTTCAGTGGCTGTCCCAGAATTTTTATCTGTGGAAATGTTTTTATGTATTGAGGGTTTTTTTTGTTCAGTAAAATAAATTGTAAAGATCAACTGCAGGTCACTAGTTAATTCAGTTGGTAAACTGCTGAAGCATTTTATGAACTATTGCAACAGGACTGAAAACAAAAAGTCCACTGCTCCACTCCATTTCTATAGAGTCATGGAAGGAAGGGCTTTATGATTAAGAACTACACGCCAAGGCATTCAACTATCACTGCTAATATCTGCCATTAGTTTTGAATGAATCCTGCACTGTTTGGATGTTGCTGAGCAGACCTTTTCTCTACCTGATTTGAGTATTTCCAGCTGGGCAAAGCTGTTAGGCATAATGTGGATGTTGCCTGGGTTGAGCAGTGATATATGCTTGCGGCAAACTTCCACATATACTCCGTTACATCACGGCATCCATGTTTCATGGTGGAGGGATAATCAGGTGCCTGCCTCTGGAGCGTGGCATGGCTGCTAAGTCCACAAAGCCAATTCAGCTGCACATGGATGACGTCACTTGCATAAAATAAAGTGAATTCAGCCTCTACATGTGCTGCTCAGTTCCAGCCCGCCCTCAGTCTTTTGTGTTAGCTGTGATTGGTCACTATGGGCAGAAAAGAAAATTGACTTTTGTTACTATGACTTTTGTTTTACTTTTTTTTTTTTATAAAAAGGTCCCATATGTCAGTCAACATGAGTCAAAGTGGGGAATTAGGGTGTTGCTTTAGCAATATAATTTTCACCATAAAGGGAAGGGGATGTAACTATATAATGCTTTCAAAGAAGACCTATAATTAAATAACACCCCATTCTCTTTTCCACCCACTTTTAAATCTCTAAAATATTTGTTTTGTGAAAAAGGCTTCTCCAAGCTGCCACTACAACTGGTCACATAGTCCAACTCCTTTGGCATCAATATATGCTTTTTTATACTCAAGGAAGAGACCTGATTGGTCACATTGTACAAGTCTGTAATTGTACTTTTTATCCTTAATTGTAGTGTAACCTTTGTACATTTTGTATAAATTACTGTACATCAGTCAAGATAAAGTCAGCACACAACTGTTAAGGTCCATATATAGTGTAGACCAGGGGTGGCAAACTCAAATTCATCGGGGGCCGCATCAGCAGTATGGTTATTTAGATGATGTCTCCGCTCAGCACATTATTCTCTCAGTGTCTCTGTAGTCAAGGCAGCTTACCGAGGAGCAGCAAACCATCTGCTAAAGGATTTGAAATTGTGAATTATCCTTTACTGTGCAGAGGCACTCGTGCTTGGCCAGGAACATTCATTTGAATTAAGCTATAAATGCAGTGTAAAAGGACGACTCGTGTAATGGAGGTTCATGAATAATTTTAAGGGAAGGGCAACTGCACACTCTAAACTTTTATTGCCTGAAAACCGAGTGTTTTTGGAGTTCACTGTTCATTTTGCGTTTTTATTGTAAGCCATAGAAGCTTTAAAAGTGAAAGGAGGGGGATTAGGCGAGATAATTCTCCGGCTAGGGATAGGGCAGAATAGTCTGACTGCTCTCTTTGCAATACACTGCTAGGTTTGTGTAAAGTTTTCTTTTATTCCCAAGCTGAGTTTAGACGATTGTTCTCTTTCTCTGTAAATGCAGTTTGTGGTATTAGTAAAATCTTGGTGCCCAGCTTGACAGGATAACTTCCAAGCACCCTGCTGCTAATTCTTACATTGCCTAAATATTTTTTTTTCTCAATTTTCTTTGGTAGGAGAAAATGTCCTCCATAGAATTTGCAGAAGCAACAATGTCAAAAAGCTGACTGATCATCTCAGCCTTCCTGGGGTCAAAATAAATGTGCAAGGTGAGTTTTGGGGTGGTTTTTTTTATGTTTATCTTTATTGCTACATGCAGTTTTCATTAAGAACATTTATGTAGTGATTGAGGTTGGCAGAACTCAGTTTTTTAAGCCAGATCCATTTGTTCCAAAATTGACTGACAATATTGATTTTTTTTTTTAGCTCTTTCCCTGCATCATGCTTATAAGTCTTTAACACAGATACAGCACACAGTGAAGCTCTGCCAAGTTTTTTATTTTTTACTGTGGGATGTGTACAGTGTTCTAGCTGGATTTTCTTTTAATTGTTGCTGATTTATAACTCAGACAATGCTGGCTGGACGCCTTTGCATGAAGCTTGTAACCATGGCAGCACAGAATGTGTCCGTGAAATTTTGCAGCGCTGCCCAGAAGTAGACCTGCTCAGTCATGTGGATGGTGTGACTCCTTTACATGATGCTCTACAAAACAGACACATTGATATTGGCAAAATGCTACTTCAGCATGGGGGTAAGCAAACTGAAACATTTTTATAACTTTGCAGCTATCTTGTATTTTTAGTTAACAAATTACTTAATCTGTTGTACTTTTGCTCTGGTGCTCACCTTAACAGTCTCCATCCGTATTAAAAAAATGTCACAGAACTTGGCCTTTTTGTTATGTTAGAAGGTGTTAAAAAATACGTACATGTTTCAAGACGTTATGTTGTAAAGGCGCAAAAGTTAATGCTGAAATAATGACATGCATGGTAAGTTTTGTAGTTTGTATATATTTATTTAAATTTAACTTGAAATGAGAAATATTTTGTATATTTGATGTTGTGGTGTTTGATTTGTTATGTTTTTTAGTAAACAGCTATCACACGGTGGATATGACTTCCTAGTTTCTGCTTCTCTTCTTTTGAAGCAGCAAGAGTAAATTGATAAATACAGACTAATAAATTAACTCGCATAGTTTAAACGGTGTGTGAAGTTGGAATAGAGTAGAAGGATGGCTATTTAAAAGTGAACATGGCCGGATTAACTACTAAAGATGTGTTGTTTTTTTTAGCTTGTACATAATATTGTTATTATGCATTTTAACCGAACATAAAATGATATATGCAGTGGGTCAAAATCACAAATAGACTTCGATATGCTACATTTTAGCACATTTAAATCACTTCTATGGGGATAATGCATGTGTTCAGCAGGCTTCTTCTGCCCTCTAAAGGCCACTTAGTGTCTTCATTGAAGAAATTAGATCTGTGTCTGTCTCTCTTGTTCCTCATCATCCCTGCACCTTGTATTTATCGAAGTGTGTTTGCCTCTCTCCTAGGTGTTTTATTTACCAACACGAGCATAGAAAGCCAATATCTGGATGCTGTGCGATCAGTCTAAGTGATGCGGCAGCCAATATTAGATTAACTTCACTTCAGCGTAGAAAACGGCTGTTTGGTAGGGACGACCTTCTCATCCTGTGGGAGGAGAGCCACTCGAACTTGCATTCATCAAGTTCTTCACACACCAATGCTGACAGTATGCAGACTCATCTTTGGCTTTGTCACAGCCTGGGGACTGGCCTGTCAAGTGATCTGACACCAACAGGCTGAGAACTGCATTAGAAATGCAAGGGCTGATTTCACTTTCCGGCTCTTCCTATATTTGTTTGGTATTGTGTATTTTAGTGCTGTGGTTATTTAGACGCAAGTTTAGGTAAAGCATTTTATAAAAAGAACAAAGATAAAAGGAAAACATTGTCTATGGACTTTCTCCTTCGCTGTGTGATGCCATTTAATATAAACTCAAACACTTGAAGATATTGGATCCCTTGTGCAGAAAGCAGTTATCCAAACAGATTCAGATGGACAAAATAACTGCTGTTTCCTCGCCTAAAATACACATAAGTGGGCCATAGAAGCTCCATTTTAATCTTTCATGCTGCACTAGAGAAATAAAAAGAGACTGTGGCAGCTAGTGCTTTTCTCTTACAAGCCTTTGTGACTCCCATATCCCATACAGGTGCTTGAAGTAGCATAAAGGTTCAAGTCTACTTTCAATTAGTGTACACTTATCCACCCATCCTACCCTTCCTGACCTAAACCGACATCCCTCCAAGCTGCTTACTTACCTGAGATGGACAGCCATGGCCCGCTCAGTTGATTACATCAGAAATCTTTCTTGCTGCTCCCTGTACCTCTGCAGTGAGCCCTCTCCCGAGTTGAGTCTGGAGACACTTAGGCGCTGGTCCCTTTAAAAGTCTATGAGCATTTACTGTGCAAGCATGACCATAGGTGAGAAATATTTTTGCCAGCTGTTTTAAAAATCAGAGCATGCTGCTGTCTTACAACCCCAATTGCAAAACAGTTGGTATGCTGTGTAAAATCTACATAACAACTGAATGCAATCATTTACAAACCTCATAAACCCATATTTTATTCACAATAGAAAAAAGAAAACATATCAAATGTTTAAACTGAGAAAATGTACCATTTTAAGAAAAAAAAAAAGTAATTTTGAAATTGATGGCAGCAACACGTCTCAAAAAAGTTGGGATAGGGCAACAAAAAGCTGGCAAAGTAAGGGGTACTAACAAGGAAGAGCTGAAAGTACATTTTGCAACTGACTAGGTTAATTGACAACAGGTCAGTAACATGATTGGGTATAAAAAGAGCAAAGACATGCTGTTAGGTTAATTGGCTCCTCTCTAAGTTGGCCCTCTGTGTATGCATGTAAGATAGGGACCTTAGATTGTAAGCTCCTTGAGGGTAGGGACTGATATGAATGTGCAACTATGTAAAGCACTGCATAAATTGTCAGCACTATATAAATACCTGTAAGAATAATAATAATAATAATAATAGAGTCTCAGAATTAAAGATGGGCAGAGGTTCACCAACCTTTGCAAAGCATCTAGAGATTGTCGAACAATTGAAAAAAAAATTGACATTCTTTTTGACAACCAAGTGCACTGCATCCTCCGGACTAAGGAGAGGGACCTTCTGGCTTGTTATCAGCACTCAACTTAAAAGCCTGCATCTGTGATAGTATGGGGGTGCATTAATATGTATGGAATGGGCAGCTTGCACATCTGAAAAGGCACAATCAATGCTGAAAGATATTTCCAGGTTTTAGAGCAGTATATGCTCCCCATCCAGACGTCTTTTTCAGGGAAGGCCTTGCATATTTCAGCAGGACAATGCAAAACCGCATACTGCATCTATGACAACAGCATGGCTTCATAGTAGATGATTCCGGGTGCTTAAACGGCCTGCCTGCAATCAAGACCTTTCACCAATTAAAAATATTGCCCTGTGTCAACTTTTTTGAGACGTGTTGCTGCCATCAATTTCAAAATTACCTTATTTTTCCCTTTAAAATGGTACATTTTCTCAGTTACATGTTTTCTATTTTCTACTGTGAATAAAATATGGGTTTATGAGATTTACAAATCATTGCATTCTATCTTTATGTGGATTTTACACCAATCCCAACTTTTTTTGGAATTGGGGTTGTATTTAGGTAAAAAAGCAAGGGGGGTGGGTGTAGTTTAGGTCAGGAGTACTAAGCATGGTGGGTAAATGTACTTTTAATTAGTGGGGTAGAAGTTGATTGAGCTACAAGGCTCTTTTTGGATTGCAGGATAAAACTGGAGCTCCAAGAGGAAATCAAGCAAATAGAGAACATTCAAAGTTCATAGAGAAATTGAACCCAAGACCCAAGTGCTCATTTCTCCAGATATTAGTGTTGGCAGACACCCGTTTCTGGTTTTGGAAGCAGCAAAGCTGGACAGCAGTGACAGGCCAAGATGTGTACACTTTTAGATGGACAATACAAATTTCACACCATACAAGGCAGAAGAAAATATTTTGACCTTGTAGGTCAACAACAAGTGGCCTTATTCAGAAATGCAGAGAGTATTTGTGATGTATATTTGACTGTAGCCTATAGCAACCAACCACATATAATCTGACTAGCACCCTAAAATATGAATGTTTTGGCTTGCTGCACATTGCACATCATCATTGCATATTGCACTGCTGTTCCCAAAAGCCCCTTAGAGTCTACATTTTCGAAACCCAGAAGGAAGGAGACAATCTTTCATGGCCACGGCTACCAAATCAGGTGCTTTGTTTATCTGAGAAGCCTACACTGAAAAATAACTGCTATACTTCTTTTCAGTTTCTTTTTTTTTTTTTCTTGTTAAGGAAACCTGTGCTCAGTTAAATTCAGAGGATGCCATTGTTGATTTCTGTTTCTATAAATGCTAGCTGCTTGGCTGTCATGCTGATTCTGTGGCTTGTATCAATCGGGGCTCTGACTGTAGTTTGAGTTCACTAGCTTCATACACCTTCACGGGCACTGAATCAGATAATAAAGTCATAGATTGTCAGACTGCCTGGATTTTCAGAGGAAGCTCAGCCTTTTTTTTTCTAATCAGGTTTACTTAAAAAAAAAAGTTGTCACAAATCCAAACAATTCAAACTGAGCACATGATAAAAAAAATGCGTAAGGAGAGGGAACTATAGTAGTAGATCAGGTGCCTTGTGCCATATTTTTATGAAGGTATATATATATTTGAAGACCACCAGTAGCTGTCTGTCTGTGTGTATATATATGTGTGTGTGTATGTATGTATGCATGTATGTATATATATATATATATGTGTATGTATGTGTGTGTGTATATATGTATGTATATATATATATA